AAGAGTAAATTATCTTAACCTGGTTAGATAAGGCCAGTAAACTTCTTTTTTTTTTCATCTGAATGGTGAAAATACCATTGTGCACAAGCTTCCGTCCACAAGCCGTGGGAGAGGATTAAGCAGACCATAGCTATTTTCTTGCACCAGTGTAAGGGCTATTAATTCTTCCATGCGGGGGGGTAGGCTGACACTGCCTTGATTCAGGGAGGCAATCTGTGCTGCATTTAGCATTGAACTCTTTAAAGAGTGGAAAAAGAAGAGCCTTACTCCAGTCACAGAGGAGAAACTCTCTTCATAACAGACAAGATATGCTAGTGCTGGAGCGGACAAAGCCAAATTATACATCAGAATAAAGGCAGGTCAAAAGGAGTTCAAGGCTGATTTCTATAATCCTTCCACAGATTTTCTTCTTGCAAACTCAACAGCATTCATACTTGGATGCATTGGTTAAAAGCAGCTTGGAGAAAGCCTATCAAACTAATTAAAAAAACTTGCTGGGAAACAAATGACATACCTGAAGTCCTTCTCTCACAGCTTCCAGAAGATACGGCACCAGGGAATAGTTCCAGAGGTCTGTGAACCACACTCTGGAGCCATCAACATCCATAGGGCAAGGGAGGAAGAGGCGGGGACCTGAGAAATCAAGTTGTGTATTAAAAGAAAATAGAACTAGGGTACATAGTAAAAATAAGCTTCATAATTAAAAAAAACAGTGCTGAAGCAAACTCAGCTGAAGAGAATACTAATACAGGACTACAATAAGGGAGGTATCAGTCTCCTGTTAAAAATGAACTAGTGACACTTGATCCTATTCCAGAGCCTGATTTACAGGTTTTATGGGCAAAGGTATGTAAAAGTATGACTTCTTTGCTAACATAGGTATTCTGCTAAAAGACCTCAGGTGCATGTGTATCTCCCATCTGCAAGTTTGCTGAACTGACCATCCAAGTGTTTTCATATGCTGCAGTGTGAAAGCAGGATAAAAACATTAAGCTTAGCAAAGTTACTATTGAGGTAAATTGTTTTGTAAATATAACTTTTAAGAATTATGGTAATTTACTTGAAAGTCTTTAGCAACAAAGGCAGACGTACTGGGAAATACATACTCTCATTTAACTTCCCATTTTCATTTCAATCTTGCTGACAAGCAGACAAATTCCTGACACTGATGTTGCACTTCCCGTACAGAGATGATAACTTTTAAAAAGAGAATATAACCTTCACAGATCTCTAAAATGCTCAGTAGGCATCTTTATTTCAAACCACTCCACCAGTGGACTCACCAATGGTTACATCTGAAGAACTGTGTGTTTCTAGGAAGCTGTTGAGATGATGCCATGTTTTGGGGATCCAGTCAATTATTTTGATGAGCTCATTATTGCGTATGTTCTTTTCTATTTCAGTCTCAATCAGTTTCCTTCTCAGATATCTGCCCAAGAAGCCTTTAACAGGCTCTGTGTGATTAGCACACAGCACCCACCTGGGTAGAAAGGATAAATGTCAAGTAGCAATGAATAGCAAATACATCATTCCCTCTTAAACATATAAATGAAGGTAATGTCATAAGCTTCTGAGTCTCGTTAGTCAGCAAATATGAAACTGCTCCAGTAAATTTCACCCACTGCTACAAAACAATCATTACAAGTTTCAGCATGAATTTAAGACACTGCTGAAGACAAATATAATGCAATAGTGCAATCATTTTCAACATCTTGTTAGAGGTTCTGGAAGGTATCTCACTTCTTTCACCGCTCCCCAACAACATTCGGAAACCTGTCAATACTGGAGAGACACAGAAGCTAAAGTATTTTGGTGTGATGAGACACAAGATCAACATTTGTCAAAGAACTGGGCTGAGAAGCAGGGAGCTGTGCAAACACAGCCACAGTAAATACAGAGTGAATGTACCTGAAATTGTGATGCAGCTCCAGATTTGGTGAAGAAGAAACTCCCTGGTTCATGGTTCCAATAATATAGGGACTGAAAAGAGAAAAGTAGCAGGGTATTTTTGAAGGAGAATCCATTCAGATATTCAGAGAATAATCTTTTTTCTTAGCTCCACTAGATCAATCTTAAGAGAGTGTCTGAATGTATTCTAGTCTTAGATTTAAAATATTTCTCATTTAATGTTTATTCCTGTATGATTTCCCTCCCTGCACATTTGTAGTTTTCTAGTACTCATCTGTAATAAAGAAATAAATGAGGCAACCCTGTCTTCATGTACCTCATAATTTTGCATTAGGCTTAGAGTTTTAACTTCAGAAGACAGTAAATCTCATGAGTAAGACATAGTGTGCAGTGATTTTGTAGAAGGAACTCCCTAAGATGGCACTTTTACAGCAGAGTTAGCCAATGTTACAGGATAGTAGAAGTTACAGATATCAATACTTTTATTCTTGCTTGGCAGTAAAGGACAGACAGCAAACACCATACTTCTGCACTGCTTCAGTAAAACTAGGAATTGCAAGCCTGCCAGATATACAGCTGCTTCTGCATGACATGGTTCGTGAGTTCACACAATATACCAAATTCCACTATTATAAAGTGAATTTCTTCTTACTCTCCCATTAGCTGTCCTCATGGTACTAATGACTTTGTGTGATCTGACAGGGTGAAAGGGATAAGACCCTAATTCAGTCAAGTACTTAAGTACAATCTTAAATTTGTAGTACATTTCCAACTCACTGAGATGCACGGGAGTCATACAAATAAAGTGAAGCAGATACCTAAGTAGTTAGCTGAAGAGGGTTAAAATTATTCAAGCACACAAGGGCTTTGCTGACAGCCTATGGGAGTCCAAGTTTCCACTGGGGCATTTTATTTGCAAAATAGCAAAAAGGTTTTACTGCAAAAAGGTGTGTGAAAGGGGAGAGTAGAGATACTACCTACCATTTATTATATTTACAGTTGAGGAAACCATTGAAGATGTCACTTAGTGAACTGATGTGGTGGAGGTTATCAAGAATTATGACCACAGGAAGATCAGCACCGTTGTTGTCAGCACTGCATTGCTCAGCTAGGTTTGCTAGGTATTGCCGCAGATCCTTCAGCAGAATTAACAGCAACAGAAAAAAACACCACAGTAAAGATTAACCTAATTAGACCATAGATATAATTTCAGTGGAAAAGATTTTCAGAAAGATAAAGAGGCTGCTACAGAGTTTTCCCACTGTGGATCGTTCAGCTGGATCGGCACATGCAGGAAGACCTGCTTCTTAGGGCAACACTGAAGCCACATGCTAGGGAAGACAAAGGCACTAACATAAGGCAAGTGACTGCAGCATAGACATTCCTATTTGGTGGACACATTATTTAGTAACCTGCTGATAAAATATCTTATCTCCAGAGGAAAATAGGTTGTGATAAAATATGACGTTTTCAATGGGCTGAGAGACATTAATGGTTGGACCTCCATTCTTATGAATGCCACATTTATATACCCCCAAAACCCACCAAATTATCATGCAATTTGGGCATATTGAACTGTTCCTTCAGACATCTCCTTTCACCACACTCACTGAAAATCTGTTTGTTACCTTTTGGGGATACTGTATCACACCTCATCATGAAATTTGGTGTGTCTTTTTTTTTTTTTTCCTGTCAGTTACCTGTCTGGTTGCCGTTTAGTGCTAGAATAAGAGAGCTCTCTATAATCAAAACATTTCACATTTTTCTCAACCTTTTCTTGCCCTTAAGGGTCTGGGCTAGTCAAGTTTTACCGCTGTATCTCTATACCTCTAGAGGAATTTAGTTTCATTGGGAATGCTCAGTATTATGGACAAAGTTCCTATTGCCGTTTTACTTTCTGGATCAGGGATAGCAGAATATTTATTTCTTCAGTGGGAACATGTAGTCTTTCTTTATTTGAAGAAAGATTTTTAATTCAGTGTTTCTGAGGGAAGATCATGGTTTTCTTCCATGAAATAACACCATCTTCATTACTCAGACACACTCAGTATTTAACACTGGGTGGGTTGTTTTGGTTTGGTGTTTGGTTTGCTGTGTTTGGATTCTTTTTTTTTTTTCCTTTTTCCCCCTAACAATCTCAAAAGTTCTATATAAATCTTAATAGAAACAATGGAAAAGGAAAAAAAAAACAAACCCAAACCCCAAACCAAAATCACATACAACAAGCAATTTACCAGAAATCCAAAAGCGTTCTCTTCTGTGGGACAATTTTAATTATAAATGTATAGGGTATAACAATAAAATATAAACACTTCCCCTGCCAAAGTAAATGACATCACAAATCCTCTGTATAAAGACAGTGAAAAGCAATGTTTTCACAGGAATGGTCCTCTGGCCCCCTTGGGATCTATATGTTCTTCCTTCTTATGTTATGTTAACATTCATTATGTTCTGTGCAAATCAGAAAGCTCTAGGCAAAACCTTTCATTTCCTTTTCCCTGGGTACCAAGTTAGGAGTATACCCAATTTAGGACAGCAAGTGGATAGTATTATCTGTGGCTAGCAACGTAGTCATGCTAGAAGCTTGATAATCTGAGCTGTGTAAATCACTGTGAATGTGACATGATGCATGAGGTAATTTTAATATGGTCAGCTTCCTGACCCATGCACGCCAGAAATTGTGGCAGCAGTTGTATTTATCCAATGCTGATTAAGTAGCTCAACACACGACATTAATTCAAAATCCTCATTCTGAAATCTTTGCTAACAATAGGTTGCTATTATCACTATATAAAAATCCAAGTTAGACTAGTATTACTACATATCCAACCTTTCTGACGAAGGAATTACAGACACTCTAAGAACTGAATTTACATAAGAATTTGACTCTGCATCTATCCTTGAGGTGGGTTTTCTCAAGTGGAGGGAAAAATTAGACTTCCTTCACAGTGCTTTAATGGTTTGTTCAGAACAGAAAGATCTAGTCCCTGTTCCTCACTGGGATTGGACACTCAATTCCTGTAGGAAAAAGTGCTAACTGGGCAACAAAACAGTAGGCCAATTAATAGGATATGCTCTGCAACATCATTACAAATTGGACAAGGGGTTACCTTTTCACTTGTAACTTACCTTGCTTGACTTGTGATCTACATTAAAAGTTGCAATTGCATCCTCAGTTTTTTTCCTGCCAGATTTAGTTATAACATATTCAGCCAGCCTGTTGGCTAAGTAGGTCTTTCCTGTGCCACTGGGTCCCGACAGAATAATTCTGCGATGCTCCATCAGTAAATTAAAGTACCGCTGGGTAATTGGCTTAGGAATTAATGTGTCAAACACAAAACTGTCCAAACTGTTTTCTTCCACTCCTGGGAACAAAAGAAAAGAAAAACGGCCTGTCTTCATCCTTGCTAAAGTATGTATAGGCATGGCCCAGCACCTGCTGGCATCAGTGCCATGCTCAAAGCAAGGTAAGATACTTCTGCCTAAATCAAACTCAGTCAGGGGCTTCACTACATGCTTATATCCTTCCACAGGTCCAAAAAATTAAACAGGGGTAGTGGGACGAAATGGGAGGGGGGGATGAAATGAAAGTAAATGTGAAGAGAAGGCTCAGTGAGGCAAAGATGTATGTTTCAGACACTACAGGCAACCAGGACAAAAAAAAGGTCAAAGTGACAGCCACAAGGGCTACCAGTTGTCACTTCAATGTATGTATAATTCTTCCAAAGGCTCCCCTCCTCTCCAATAGCAAGGCCCTACAGCTTTTGAAATGTATTGATTTTTTCCTGCGGACCTGGGTAAGGCATAAATATTTCTCATCATAATCTCTGTTTTGGGGTTGGGGTTTTTTTTTGTCACTATTCAAAAATTTGTGTTATGCTGTGATTTGACAGGCAGGCAAAGGAGGACAGAGATATTCTTAGATTTGTTCACAAAATGCCCCACTGTATTAGGTATTGTGCAATGTCACAGAGAGAGTTGCTGTGATAAATGAGTCCTTGAACTGAAGACAATATACAGAAAGGTCAGGCATAAGCAAAAAATAAAAGGAGGGATGGGGAAATGCAGTGAGAACTGTACAGTACCCGCAGAAATGTTTGTGGGGTTTTACCTTTCAAGTTCACAGTGATGACATTATTATCTCCAACCAGATATCCGCAAGGCAGCAGTTCAGGCACTTCTAGGTTATGGGCTCTAATTACATCCCCTATACAATAGCTAGCAATGCAGTCAGAGCTTAAACCCAGGCTAGTCGTTGGATCCACTCGGAAAATATATTCCTGAAATTATATGAAAACGAAGACATAAAAATAAAAACGGTTATTGAATGAAAAGAGTTTGGAAAATATTTTGGTAGAGGTGAAGTCATTTGACAAGGAGATTCTTGCAGTCACATTAAATAGAGAAGTGTCTACAATCATGAAAAAAGAACAGCAATAATAAAGTTTAATATTGCTGTTAGCTATATGTCAAACAACAAAACAAAGGAAAAACTTTGCAAAACAACCCAGTGAATACAGGCTTTTTCTTAAGTGAAAAAGAAAACTGAATTAATATTTGAGCTAATTTTTCACTGTCTCACCTTAAAGAGACGTCTGATTACACCGTCTAAAACATCCCATTTTGTTTTTCCGCTGACTCCAATTGATCCTATCAGATATGCATGTGGTTTTTGATCCTGCAAAGAGAGATTTTTGGAAATTGGACTAAAAATGGTGGTAATTAGTTTTCTATAAAGACTCATAATTTTCCCAGTGAAGAAAAATAATATTTAGGATGTGAAGTTACAACTTCGTTAATACTCTCTGTGCCAGAAATAAATATAGATGATATTACTTTGCTACATCTTTATAAGGAAGGAAATACTGTATGTTATTCTGCTCTTAGATTGTATCTGTATTTATAAAGAGCTGAATATAAATAAAATTTGCACTGTATTTATAATTCTTTTGTGTAATACAGAACATGAAATCACGACCATGCAATTCCAAATTGATTACCTCAGCAGCGTATTCATAGTTGCACCCTAAAGGGTCCAAGACATAGATCTAATTTATAATGACTTTTAAATGGAGATAGCAAGTCCCAGAACATCTTACTACTAATTAAACTGAGAATTGCTAGTGTCTGAGCCACCACAAAAGCAGAAGGAGGCCATATGACATTAGTCTACGGAGAGTGCCTAACCATACTGAGCATGGATGACAGAGAAGGGAGCTGCTATCTTTAGAATATTTCCTTTCAGTTCCTGGCTGAAAACACTGAAACAAGTTGAGCTACTGTATTGCAAGATTTGCCAGAGCTATAATCCTGAGTCTAGACCTTTGGGTGATAAACTTACCTTGGCTCGACTATAGCCCTTGTTTATAGTGACTAAAATTTTCACACTATGACCTTCTTTGTGGAGTCCTCCATCAGTGACATCATCCAACAAAATATCTGCAATAAAAGAAGGGAAGTGATCAGCTTGCCAAATGACATCAGTTATGTTCACATCATCAGTTCAATATTTGTTCAAAAGGTTTCTCATTTAAAAGAAAGGCTGCCATCACAAGAATTTGTAATAATTTTCCTATGTTGTCTTTTTTGTTGGAGATGTAAAAAAGTTACAAATTCTCAATCTTTGAAGCAATATTAGGAGCTTTAATAATGTAGAAATTAATTGGGAAACCAGAAATAAATACAGTTTTGCATTATGTTATATTCTTGCCTTTGCCTTCCTTCTTGGAGGTTGTTGGAAATTACCCTACATCCACAGAGTAATGTTGTTTAAAACCTAAATAAAGTTTATATCTTTGGGTACTCATTGTGCCCTTCGGAATGCTGTCAGGGGAAAAGCAACAAATCCTTGCACTGATATATTTGCTACTGAGTAAAATAGCATTTTAATTTATCTTTCCCGCTTATTTCTTTACCTTCTCTACACATGGCATGGATAGTGTTTTTTTTAATCCCACAATACAGGCTTACAAACAATATCCATTGAGAAAACCACTTTGCGTTCCTCCAGAATATGGGACTCTGTATTCAGTCATTCCTCTAAGAAAAGGTTTCATTTTTCTAGGACATAAAGAGTGATTCTGATCTGCTCTGTGCCACTGTTTCTACCTCCTCACTAACTCCTAAAATGAGAAAGCAGAAGGATGTATTTCTTACTCAAGGCTGAGCCTGCAGTTTTATTGCAAGAGATAAAATAGCTGTCACCCTCTCGAAGTTGTCTCAGAGGTTTTACTGTTAAACATTTAAACTAACTATCAGATTAGGAGAGATTATGGATTTGCGTTTTCTTCAAAGGCCAGCACAATATTCCACTGCCCTAAATCCTGCTTATTCTTATTGTGATTGAAGAAAAGCACTCCATGTCATAGTTGCACAAGATTGGATTTCACCCAAATTTTATGAGGGGCCACTAATATTCAGTTTCTCACTCAAATCAAAACCAAAAGACTTATGAATATGACTTTAATGAATGTATTAAAAAATAAAACCTCACGTAAAATGTTGAACAGCTTACACCCAGATATAAAAGCAGATTCTGCCTTTTTTTTTTTTTAATGAAATAAAGAAGCATTTTTGTTGTGATCTTAAACAAATCGATGTTTGTTTTGTTCCAGGCAGCCAGTTTTTCTGTGCCACAAACACTGAATATTTCACCTCACTTATATTTCAGCATATTTGACAAACTTTAAGAGTTTCCATAATGTCATAGTTCACACGAGAGCAATTAATGATAAATCTGGCTGCCCTGTGAAGTTGTTCAATCTCTAAATGATCCTCATGTAGCTTTTAAAATACGTTTTTCTGTAAGTGTTCAGGAATGAGTCAGTATTCTGTGGCTAGAAACAGTTTTCACTTTCTATTAAGAACCCTCCCTCTCACCAATGCAAGGGGTCGAGCATGGTGGTACTAATTGCTTTAATTAGCTCCTGCCAGGCCTCCTCCTTGGGTGCACTATGGTGGCTCCATCTCACTTGTCTGAGTTCTGGCAGTCTTTTCATTAGACAGCCTAAACAGACTCTTGTACTGGTCCTTGTTTGCTGCTCTTTACTGTAATGACTGACTGAAATATGGGTGTCTGTGACCACTGAGACTCTTCTCAGTTTGCCATCTGGAGGAGATTGTCATACCCTTAGGAAGTAGCAATGGATGGCTTTGGTCGTTTCCAGATGACTATGGTCAATTGGAGACACTGCTTTCCCAGAAAGTGCCACGGCATTTTTTAATATGTTAAGCCAAAGCCCTTGTTACCTCTCTCAGCTTAGTCCCCAGCATAATTAACCCTTTTGTATCTCGGGAACTTTTGCTCAATACTACTCCAGCTGTGCAGAAATCCCACAAGACTTGGTAGGAACCTGTCACCCTTCCAAGTTCTCTGGCATAACACCAAAATGGTACTCACAACAATCAAAAAGGCTGGATTCATAATGAAATTAATTCCCCCACTCCTCATTAGGCACCCTTATTTTTTTTTAAATTTCTTATAACCAAAAGTAATTACTTTGCATGCTAGAAAAATATTTAGAACTAATAACACAGAAAATTATATAAAGCTTATATTATGTTTATTTCTGTATCTAGACAGAGTTAGTACGAAGCGACAAAGTGCTAATAGCTGCTGCTCATGAAAGAGATTTTACAATTACCATTCTGAAAAAAATTCTAGTCTGATTTTTTTCTTTTAATAGTGTGTGTGGATGAATGAGCAGGAACAATAGTTAAATTATTTCTCCCTGTTTTTACAACACTTCATTGTACACTGAGGCCCAGCTCAGGCTCATCCATTCTAAAAGTTAACGTTGGCAAAAAATGTAAGCTGGAATGTAAACAAAAAAATATACAGATTTTCATATAAGATCTGATATTAACCAGAAGAAATATTCAAATATCCATGTAATCAATGACTGGCAAGATCATATGACTAACTGCCAGTCCAAATTATACTCAGGCAGTTTGGCACATTCCCAGCTGTACTCTTGCCTAGACTCTTTCTACAATTATTAGCCACATTTTCATTGCTTCCAGAGACTGCATTATACTTTCTGTGGAGTCTACACTAATGAGTGCTGCTTTGCTTCTGCTCTGCTCCTGGTTCTAATGTTAGAGACAGTGCTTCTGTTTCTTGGCTACATTATCAAAACAAGCTAGAAGGCTTATTATCATAAACTCTATGGCATGGAAAATAATCAAATATTAATGTTCAGGATGTAGACCAAAGTTCAGCTTGCTTTCTCTCATTCACAGAAGACAATGAGAGTGCTTAATAAGCCAGGCGGGGTTTGGCTCCTGTGATGAATGGTGATTTGGTCCAACAGGCTAACTAGCTATACCACATGACAAAAATGTTAGGGATAAAACTAACTGAGAACAGCTTTTGACCCAGCTGCAAATACGAAATGAAGTTAAGGAAGCTAACTGAATGATAAAAGATCTGTAAACAAAGAAAGAAAGTTTCATGTACTATGCTCGCATTTGTCCCATAGGGACAAGAGAATATACCTCCACACGTCATGTACACTCCAACAGATACTGTCCTTTTTAAGTAAATTTTTAACTAGATGACTGAAGAGTAGATGACCAACTAGGTAGTGTCATAACTAGGAACTAAGAAAACATAATGAACAGTCTGTTACTATTATTCAGAGTCTTCTAAAAGCTACATTTTCAGAAATGTCTGCCTGCATTCTTCCTCATCTCTATTAGCGAATGTATATCTGATGTTTACCTGAGTGAGATGAGGTGTTTTAAATTCCAGGCATGCCTCTTACGTATGGTCCATTAAGAGGGTGAAAATAACAAAATCTTTACGAATTGCTGACGCATGCATGTGCCCAAAACATGTTTACCTGATGTAACAGATTCTGTGATGTTTAAATTGTTCAGAGAAAGTCCTAGTGACTGCCGTGATGAAGAAGATGATGTGCTGCTTGAAGACTCTGATGATGGCCGGGCAGGCTTTCCAGTATTTCCAGTCTCTGCCTTTAAACGATCATTTTCAGCTTTCAGTATCTCAATTTCATTCTAAATTCAAAATAAATCAACATAAAAGCACAGAGTTTATTCTTTTGGAAAGACACAGGGGATGGCTACTCTGGTGCTTGCTGTTCGCCTGCAGGAGCTAACTGGTTTACCACTTTCATAGCAGTATGTAGCACTATACATCAGAACTGTAACCCAGTCAGTGAAAACTGTATTGCCTTCACTTCTGAAATGAAGGGGAAAAAAGCCCTATAACCTTGTTTTATCTTTTGCCTCAAGACAGGTACTAAACAACATAATCTTTAAGCTTCTGTGTTTATTGTACAGGTGACTATTATCTAAGTATGTATGGTGAGAATTTTCCCAGCTATGCCAAGTTTTATGAGCTACTTTTTATTGTCAAATAACTTACGTAACAGTTGGTTAAGAAAGTTATTATTAAAATCCTATACATGTCAATGTTTCTTAAGTCATAGAATATTATTACTGCCATTGAATGTAAAATTTAAGCAGTAACTTCCAAGAGGAGAAATGAAATTAAAAATGGACAATTAGAAATTGATAGTTTAACAGTTTCATAACCCTTCTTGCTATCAGATAAGACTTTCTGATCACTCAAAGAGGGGACTGTACACGTAATGGCCAGCAAACCCTCTTTGATGAAAACATACAGTGACAGATGAATCAGAACAACTAGGAATTTTTTTAGCTAAATCCTCTGTGGTGCCAAGTGGTTATTGGATGTACAATAATAAAATGAAAACTTAGCCTGAGAACAGGCTGGTACCAGTTAAATCTAGTTTTCAGTCGCTTCATGAATCACAGTACAAAGCAACTGCTTATTCTTGCAGACGGTTTTGCACATCAAATTTAATTCCACATTCACTAACACTCTGGTAAAAGTCCTATTCTTTTATGATGGCTGTTGAGCTACATTATACAAGAAAAAAAAAAACCCATAAGGGATAGCATCAAAGAAAGCCTGCAACAGCTACAAAAAGATTAGATCATATAGGCAAAGGCGAGGAGATAGTGAAAGGGAAGGGACAAACCACAAAATAGTGACAGAAGGTAATAGATGACTGCACCAGTTTAGCCTGGGGTTCAAAGCAGCAGCTATGGTGAAATACATCACACCATCTCCAGCTACTCTGCAATTTGTGCTGTTTAATTACACAACTCTTAGCAGTCTTCCATTCAGCTGATGTTTAGGTTTTTAAGGTGCTTTGAATACACAGTATTCATATATCATTCTCACCAATCCTACTTTTCCTCTTTACCAATCCTCATCGATTCTCCGAAATGTCATATAGTTTGGCAACTCCAAGGTGGCTGTCTGTCCTACTCAGAAAACTTTATAAGTAGCAATTACCAGCAAAAGCATCTGAACTAGTTGCCACTGCCTGGCTTTGGTGAAATCCAAACTTTGGAGGCCTGGGACTACAGCAGACTTCGCTCTCTGGGGAGCTCACTTGGTTTAGACACTCATATCCCAGTGTAAGACCCTAATCAGCTGATAATCCTTCATGCCCTGTTCTCCACCATTGCAATTAACTGCATTCCATCCCTTATAGTTCCTAAAATCTTTTTATTGGCTCCAAATCAAAGGCTTTACTTATGTTTGGACAATTGAGACCCATATTTATGGACCAGTTTTTGATTATCCTTCCTCCTAATTGAAGTTCAGCCAAATATCCCATAGAAATGTTGACACCGAGTGGTGTGAGCACCTGGAAGGATGGCAGAAACCACTGATTTTTAAAGGTGTGGCTGAGACTGCTGTAGGCATGTTATAAACAAAGAGGTCTAGAAAAGACAGCAAGCACACCAAAGCAGTTATGAAATCAGCCGCTGTGGACATCTACACATAAGTGCCTCCAGGTGCACCTGACCTAAGCACCCAGCACAGAGCAATTCAGCTGACAAGCCACTGGGGCTGGATTTAGCTGCGTAAATGTGGGTTTCCAGTGTCATTGTAAACACTGTTTTCCATGGGTAAAACTCTAAACCTACATGTCCTGTGCAGGTGCAAATACCTGAGGCTGGTCCAAACAGTAATAAGTGCCTATGCTCAACTCAATGTCACCCTTTATATCTATCTTACGATGATTTTAGGGTAGCTCTGTAAACCCCACTACTGCAGGACTAAAGCTCAATTGTTTACAACAGGAGTTTATCACGTAGCTCATACCTAGATGTCTAAATGTAGCTGTCCCAGTCTCAACCTGAATCCCCACCTCACGGCCTTAATTCTGTTTCCCAAATACAGGTTTACAGCGCCTTTAGGCATGTCCTAGATTTCTCACCTGTCATTCAGAAGGGCCCAGATCTACTGAAGGGTCTACATCATACTGTGTGGATGTTGTAGATGCTTTTGGACACCCAATATGATACTAGACACTCGTATGAGGGAAACAGCTGAGTCAATGCTCTGTGCTCCACTGAAGAACACTGTCACTCTTTCTGGATGCTTTCATCCTCTTGAAAGGGAAACTCTTCTGATGTAAAAAATGTGTTCAGGAAGGATTTGGAGCAGTGTCACAGAATAATGGAGTGAAATTTTAGTGATGTTGAATATGATAACTTAGTTCAATTTTACATACTTTGCCTGGGCAAGCCATGACTGGGTTAGGAATCAGAAATTATGAGAGAGTATGCACATACACCCCCCGCCCTCAATGTGGCCCAAGGATTTAAAGCTCTGTAGAAATCACTCCTTGATATGCTTGTCTGTCATGATGCTTTCCCCAGTCACAAGGTTTAGATAACCAACATCCTTTGGACAGGGTTTATGTCTCCTCCATATCTCTTAAACACATCTTACCTCCTAATATAAAGGCGAATAATATTTATTATTATGTGAATGCTTATTGTGTCCATCCTTTAATCTAGCAATTGACATTCTATCCACATATTTTTGGTACGTTAAACAAAGTACTGGGAAACGAAATACACCAGGCATACATTTGGTGTCCACCCCTGCCATCACTTAAGCTGCAGCACTGACCTGCATGCGGTTCATAGCTTCCCGAATCTGATCCAGATGGTGTGCAGAGCTGAGGGCTTCAAGACGAATGTCTGTTAATTTTAGCTCTTTCTCCCTCAGCTCGCTCTTTAGCTGAAGAATAATTTCAGCTTCCGCCTCTGTGCACTCACAGATCCTAAAGAGGAGCAGGAAACAGGCAGGAGATTAAAGGAAGGTTCTCCCTCCCCCAAGCAGTGTCATTACTAAATATCAAAGTACAGAAAATGCTTGCTGCTGGTGAAACCTATGAGTGAAGAAAGAATCTTATCAAAGAAACATGAAAAGGCTCAAATTGCATATTAAAAAAGGAAAAAAGCCCTCACCAGATGAAATGATCAGCTTGCTTTATACCTTTCCAGTTTAGTTAGGTAGTTCAACATGGTGAAAAAAAGTTGTTAAAAACTTTTCAGAAATCTTTATTTTTGAGTATGTATCACCTATTGGTTTTAATTTTATTTTATATCTGCATCATTTCTTTTGGTGCAAAGTTATGATTTTCCTAAGTAGCAACAGTCAGAACTGAAGTATGCTGATTAAACTGCACTACTGATAGTTATTATCTGTTAGGCGCCAAGAGATTTCTCTGTTTTGAACAGTATACAAAGAGACAGTCGACTTCATGATCTAGAAGATTTTGATCTGTAATTGTTAATTTGTGATGGTTGACATTTTGCCTATGGTTTGTCATTTGGTAATGCATGGTGTCTGAAATAACGTGCTCTTTTTTTTTCTTTCTTTCTTAAAGACTTGATTAAAAGTGATCAGCATGTGATTATTTTTCATAAGCATTAACTTTAAGGGAAGAAAACATTGTATTATGAGTAAAGATCAAAACATGATAAGCCCAGGGACCCACAACTGTCCAGTTCTCATGTCACACTGTTTTGCCTCTCTGTGTCATTACCACATCTAGATCTGTTGCATAACAGAACCAGAAAAAAATACAAGACTGAATTACACTAAGCAGTATTTTCAGTCAATTCACTAAATGTTATTTGCTCTTTATTACTGTGACTATAAATAGTTAATATTTTCAGAAAAATTTAAATATTAAAAGAATTATAAACATAAGTATTATTATTGTGATTATTACTAATAATATACAAACAAGAAACAGAGGTCAACTTTTAATTGCCAGAAGGCATGCAAATGCATTTTGGGAAAGAAGATGCAGCACTCTCCAGGTCAGCAGTTGGATATACAACTCCATGCCCCACACTCAATTTTACCGGGATCTATGCTTGTAGACCACGTGACCGTTTTGCCTTTTCTTTGGTGCCCAGACTAGAGATGACCTGCACACACACGTATTAGACAGATGCAATTGGAAGAAAGTAAAGGCAGTGATTTAGAACATGAGGCTCAGGTCAAGAAAATATATAAAATGTAAGCAATGGGAAGATGAAGGACATGGAAAATAAAAAAATATGGCAAATTGAAGAAGGAAAATAATGAATGTAATTTACAACATGCACAAATATTTTAAAAGTGAGTAAAAATGAATAAAGGCATATACACTTGGATTTTTTTCCAAATATTCCAATACAGTTCTTGGTCTGATGTGCTCATACCTATGCTAAACAAATAAGAAATTAAATTTTACTTACATGCATAGATTATCTCATATAATAAATTGGACAACTGGGAAGTCACGTATCTATTTGTTGGCTTTTAGTCAAGTATCTATTTGTTGGCTCTTTTCTTTTTGGCTTTTGTGCAGTACATCTTGAGAGGGAATGGACAAAAAAGACCTTGGCAAGCCAACAGTTAAAGCCTTGTTGACAAGCTTTAAGGAAGATAACAATGAAGCAGAAAGCAGGACTATGGTTCTGGAACAAGCAGGAAAAAGCTGTCTAGACTGCTAAGGTAAGTAGGATGGAAGCAGAACATATGAACTGAATTTTCTTTTGCAGATTCCCGAGCTCTTCAACACTCAGCTCCTACAACTGTACAATTACATAAGAAGAGAAGACCTCATCAAAAGGAAGAGAAACAAAATATAAGTTAGTGTCCCCAAGCTGCCAGGAACATAAAAATCATAAAGATAAATCAGCAGATTTTTTTTCTTGTTACAATCTCAAGATTTTTAAATCAATATGTGATTTTGGGTAGAAGGAGTCAATCAGTCATGATCTTCAAACAGCTGACAAAAATGAAAAGTCTCTAAGGTTACAGAAGTTTAATTATGCAATAGAAAACTGAGTCTTCCAAAGAAAGTAACTTTATTAGCATAATAAAGAAATTTATCTATTCATACATTTTACATGATCTCTCTGTGGAAGGGAAGGAATCTATGTTATGTTATCCTGTAGATATGTCGCAATAAAAAAAAATGCAATATTATAATCAGAAATATCAGTGTTTAAAAATGTTATAGAGGAAGAACTAGAAAGCTGTGAACAGCATAGAATTTAGGAATTTAAGGCTCAGAGACCATGGGAAGACTTTGGGATAAAAGATTGGATATGTAGTTTTACCCTTGATAAATTCTGGGAACACCAGGAAACAAGATGAGGTTATGAGAGCAGATCTGTGAATCATGACTAAATAGTTTTGTAGAACACAAGTATTTTGTGTTCAGGCACTTGTGTGTTCAGGCACAAGTTCAGGCACTTTCTATTAGAATTTTTACTGGTGATTTTTGGGTTGGTAACAAATCAGACTCAAGGGTCCCAAGCATGTAGAAATGCTCCTCCTAAAACACACATATACCCAAAACCATGAAAATGTGAGCTTCCTTTTAAAAACCCAATAAAACTAGAGATCTAGATTAATTACTCCTCACTAATCTGTACAGAATGCGAAGAAAATATTTATTGTGGAGCGCTTTGTTTTCTTCCCATTTGGAGGAGTTTCTTTTTTGGGAATCCCCTAAACCTAGCATATAAAAATCGTTAGAGCCTGTAAAAAGCTAATAATAAAAGGTGCCTAACCCAACACAGGGAAATTCTATTCTAAAGCTCAGTAATCAGTCACAAGAGTAGAACTCCCCAGGTGCTTTAAGGCAGAGTAGTTGTAACCTGATTATCCTCAATTAGGACAAGGAAAGTAAGGTTGGCATCAGTAGTATGCATTTGTAGGTTCAAAGGGTTTACTTCCCCAAACTCAGAATAGTTATGAGTTTAGTAGAATGAAAAAATATTAGGTAGAAGAATACAAATGGGAGCTGAGAGATCAATAAGAAGAATTTACTAGACGTCCAAAAATAAAAAAGAAATGGGACAGCTTTAGACTGATGACTTGTTTTCCATCCTGAAACCTTAAGGATGGTGATTTGAATACAAAATAAAAGTAAAATCCTGAAAAAATATCCAAGCTGATAGAAGAGGGGAAATAAATTAAAAATTATATAAATCAGTAGCTACAAAGTAGATAAAGTAATAACAAAGGAATGAGTATCTTGTAGAAATTCATAGCTACCTGCAAAATAAAATTACAGCTTTAGTGTGCCATGAAGAAAAGAAACCATAGTATTTCACCTTTACTAAGTGGATACAATAAGGTTGTTAATGGTGCAGGGAGAGCACAACATAAACTTTTGGACAGAAGTTTGGAAAGAAGTTTGTACTGCTAGATGATTTGGGGTAAAGGCTATGAAAGGTGGAGAGAATAACCTAGGAAAGAGCTGCTGGAAAAGTAGTGTGTAAATAGAGGGAGATCATGAGAAATCTGGCAAATGGATGGAGAACAAGATTAAAAGATCACGATTGTTGGCAATAGATTCTGAGCTGCTAATAGCCACACTTGAGGATATCTGTTTCACAGTCCATCCCATTTGGGAAGAAAGATTTGCCAAGACAGAGACTTACGCAGATGCTGACTGTGATGGTTTCATTGATGTTGTCCCACACTCTCCTGAGCTGTGGGGCAATTTGGGTGACGAAGGAAGAGAGGAATCTGTCAGCTCTTCTATGTCTGAATGAGAGGAAGGAGGCTTGGTGGACTTCTTCTTTCCAAAGGCCTGTTTGAAAGAGCTTCTTAGCTGGAAAACAAACACAGAACAAGATTATTTTCCTCATCACGTCGATTTGTGTGCAGCTCATGTTTCGAAGAGTTAGTTTGCAGATGCCATCCTAGCCACTGCCTGAGGTCAGTACACAGAAGCAAGGTATTAACATATGCAACACGGTATCTCTAAACATATGATACAGTGCTTTGTTTTGACTTTATTAATCCAGCGTAGCGCAAACGTAATGCTATGGAAAAAGTGCAGGACCGAGTGGTATGGCTATGGGACAGCAGTGCTCATTTAAAACCATTAAACCCCAGTGGAATCCCATTCCCATGGCATTCCCTTCAAGGGCTGGCTTTAAATAACCACTTTGCATCTTTGCACAGGCAGAACCTGCTCTTACTAAATGCTGAAATCAAAAGAGAAGTCCAATTAACTGGGTTTGACAAATTACTTTCCTCATTAAGAATTTGAATGGCCAAACTATGCAAGTGCTATGGTTTTGGATCACAAGCGAGAGGATTTAAGCTGGGACATGAGTCTTGCTTTGTTGTACTGCTGAGAAGGATGTTAGCTGAAAGGTATATACTCTTTGCTGCAGTTTCCTTTAGAGAGTAAGGCCTCTGAACGTACAAGCATTGCCTTTTCCCTCTAGAAGCTCTTATCCAGTACTGAGAAGGGACAGAATAGCCAAAGAGCCATTTATTTCAGGAGCCAAGATGACAACAGTTTTGTCTGCAGTGAATTTTAACTAGCCCAGTTGTTGATACCTTTGTCTGAATACAGAAGTTTTTCATCTTAGGAAAAATGTGGTTGTTTTTTGGTTTTATTTTCAGAAAGTTGTTCAGATTAAAATTGTGTAAAACTCAATGACAAACTGGTTCCTCTATAAAAAATGAGGTATTCAAACATGTTATTTTCATGATATAATTGGAGAGTGGGGAGTGTGACCACTGGTCAGAGAAACATTATTTAAGTCGTTTCCAGCTCAGGATATCTAATGAGAAAGAAATGGATTTTGGCTACACTCCCCCTTTCTATAGTCTAAACTTTGAGATTAAAATGAATAGAGACAAACTGAGAAGACATACAGGATAATCTGTTTTTAGAAGGTATAAAAGCCTACTGCCAAAATAAATAGCAATCATGCCAAGATAGGGTTCTTTATAGATGCATGCCAAATTTTCCATGGTTTATATTCACCTCACTTCCTCTAGAGTTCACCTTGCAGAAACATGAAAGAGTG